AGTAGTGTAGATGTCTGTGTAATGGGAAAATAAGATATGCTGATTAAGTTTAAGTGCCCCTTTAAGAGGTGGGAGCTGTTTAAGATGTCATTAACTGTATATTACAATATAGCTTAAGACAGGCTAGAGAGATGGTGAGAGATATTACATCCACTGAAACATTAACAATGCAATCTGCTGATTAGAAGGGCAAGAAGGAGTAGGAATTAAGAGGTTAGGATGAGACAAATTTCTCTAAAGAGGAAGTCTCTAAATTGGAGTAAATGCCGTGAATTGCAAGAGCAGCAAATGAAAAGAATGGAAGAATTACAATAGATGAGTTAATGATCTTCAAGTGTTTTGAGTAATTAAAGCAGATGAAACGGACATTTAGAGAGGCATTTAGTGTCTCCTACATCAGTTTTAATAAAAGAATGTATCTAATCAAACCTTCATTGCATTTTAGTGTCCCAAATGATGAATCTTGCAACTAGTATGCGTTGCAAACTTTTGTCAAGTGGGTATAGTGTAGAAGACATGCAAAGTAAAAAAGAAGAAGTATATTTCTGTCTTTCCCTGAAGAGTACACAGCCTGATAAAGTGTTGCCAGAAGAAACATGTTCTGCTGTGGTCTAAAATCTTCTGAGAATATGGACTTGTAGCACACAGAGGAGGAAGGATCTGATGCTCCTGTTCATTATCCAGGTAGTGATGCTACACTAAAGCCAGAGGCACTCATCATGTCGACAGACAAGCTAACCGTTTCCTGATGTTCGTGCACTTGGCAGCGCTACAAAGAACCGGGAGCACATGATTAGTAAAACAGACCATCCAAAACAGAGGCATGGTGGGTAATTATGAGGAGACAGATGTCCCCAATCAGGGCAGGACCAGTGCAAAGTCAAAAGACTGACATACTGCAGGAGCATCAACACCATAAAAACATGTGTTGTTAAGTTACACAGGCTGTGGATCAAGGAAAGTATTTGGTGAATAAGATACGAATTCATCCTACAATCTACCTACAGTCACTTTAAGAGATGTGTATGCTGCTGGGACATATCACTATTCTTTATTTTTTTGTTTCAGTCACATTACTTTTTTGCGGTCATGGATGACATTTTGAGGACTTCTTTCCTTCTCAAACATCAGCACATTAGCTGGCACTTGAAATCCATGATTGATGTAATAATGTCACACTCTCTCATGGAGGACTAGGTGTTTTTTTAATTGATTGTACATGTTAAATATGAATATAAAAAGCCATAAATAATGCATTGATAATGGTGGGTCCATAATAGGTCCTTAATCTGAGAATCCCACACCATAAATCTATATTTATAATCTTATATATACCAATATATAATTTGAACTGCCTCTCTTTAATTACCTCTTTTTTATTCCATTTTAGGCCTATAGAAAAGCATGTTGTGGTGTAATTCAGCAATACAAAATAACAATCACCATTGTATGACTAAGAGTAATAGTGCTTTTGAGATTTAGCACTCTCTAAATCTGAATACTGTCATTGTAAGTACTTGTAACTCTGCTTTGGAACAGATCTTCACAGTGTGCCCGCTTGGCCTAGATCAAGCCCACTCTCCTCCCACCAGTGTCTCGAGCAAGTCACAAATCTGTTGTATCAAAATGACTTTTTAAAGAGGCTGCTTTGAAGCCATGCCTGCGATGGGCCCCAGACCAATCTCCAGTGTGGCTCAGCAGAAGCATAAAAGAGAGAGAGATACAAAGAGACATCAGGACACAGCTTTTGAGTATGCATGTTGTTTTGCAAAATGGAAATGAGCATGGTGAGTTTTATAGCAAAACAATGATTGGAGACAGTTTCAGAAAATGCCAGCTAGGACATTTGTTGAGGAGGGAGGAGTGAATAATCAAGCAGGGTAACAAAATTGGCAAAGGAGATAATCTATGTGTGACAAGCCTGAGAGATCGAAGGATGCTGATATGGGACCAACTAAAGGAAATAATGTTTTACCTGATGTGGAAGTAGTAACAACAAAAAATGAAGAAGAGATTCACAAAAAAACATTGCAAAACATAGCAAGGGAACAAAACCGGGCAGTCGGGAAGAAAAGAAATCACTAATGAGATGCTAATGTAACAACAAAGAAGTCAGTGCCCTCCGGGGGGAGCTATGCAACAGCAAGCAGCTTCACTACAAACGCAAACATGAACACAACTGCCCTTTATTTTAACTCCAGCATGAAGTCATTGAGGTATAAGCAATGCCAGGCAATCAAAGCAAAAGAAAGCAAAGGGCCCTAATTACAGTGGTACAATGTAAGGTTACAATCAAAGGTATTTTGTGTTGGAGGAGGCAGCAGACTTTCAAAGCAAGCTGGCATGAAGAAACAGGAACAGAGGAGTGTTAATGAAGGTGGGAAGATTTTTAAGAGTAATAGTAGCGAGATCCGTGGTGCAAAGGATGTAATTACTCAAGAGAAATGGGTCCTGATGAATGATGAGGTGGATCTGACTGGGACTGCATTGAATCGGAAGCTAGTCAAAGAGAATCGGGTACGAAGGGGAGGAGACCGCGGACGGAGTTAATACTGCGATGCTACAGACCTGCACGCAATAAAAAATGTAAAACCGCTAAAACTGTCATAAGAGTCTTCATGGCGATGCTGAATATGGAGAAATAGAAACAGGCAAGTGCAGTCTGTTGGGGGTTGTGAAAGATGTTTGTGCCATAAGAGACACAGACAGAGTGTTCATTTGAGAATATAAGTGTTATATAAATATACATGTACAATAGAATTCCCCATACTTCTCTAGCAGTTTCAATTGACTATATTTATATAACTTTAAAGGAGTACTGTGTAACTTTTGTGGTGGAGGGTTTGCCACTTGTTTGTCTCAATGGAGATATTGTTTTGCCTTGAATATTCCACAATATGGCATTAAACATATTTTTTTTCATTAATACAAGCAGGTGAGACAATGAGGAGTAGCTGCAGGTCAGGTCTGTGGAGAGGCAACCCCATAGACAGAAAGAATAAATCTTTTGCCTTGTAATTATTAATCATAAACTCACCCAAAATGACATAAATTCTAGATAGATATGTTTAATACCATAGTGTGGGACACAACAAAACATAACCATGGAGACAATCTGAGATCACAAGAAAAATTACATACTGCACTTAAATTCTCAATGTTGCTCCTCCTTAATTTGCCTCACAGAGCCATCTTCTCTTGCAAAAATGGAACTTCTGACTTGTTGAGGTTCTCTCCCAGATTTGAACACAACAAAATTCACCAAGCTTCATATTTAATTTAAATGCACTGACAAAATCACCCTAGTTCCTATTTTAGATTGAATGAAAAAATATGTATTTTAGTACGTATTTTCAGCTGGAGCATACAGTTAACGAAGAGGTGCTGCAGGCTTGGTAAGAGTTTGCGGTTGCGTGGTCTAATTGGGTTTCCATCCTTAATTAGGCCAATTAATTTAGAAATACAGCTGAGGCTGAGTGTACTCCACCAGGTCATTTAGGGATTACAAGACGGAGCGAAGGCGTGAAGGATGGGAAATGAGAAGCTTAGAAGCAATGAAATCACACACAAAAAGCTCACGTTATTACTATTACTATTTTGTGTAGAGAGTAGAGGTCTATCCATTCTTCATCAGATCAATGTTATCAGTTCACCAGCTCATAAACTCTTTGGGTAATTAAGCTCTTAAATCAAATCAATCACTTCTTTAGGAAGTCAGTGGGTTGAAAACAGAAGACAGCTAATTTACACAGTTTTTCCAAATGATACCCGTTGCAGGTGATCTGCCGTGAGAAGCATGTGCAGTCATACATAGAAGGAAGTGATGTGAGAGGAGACACAGAGGAGAGCTTTGAGATGCACAGGACTGGAAAATGTGCTTTCATTTGTCCATCAGAGCACCATGTGGCTTAAACACGCCCGAGGCTTCGAACACATACTACCTGCAAGAGGTATACAACACATACTTACGTAGAATAATGTAAAACTTTTCATTTTAGCTCCTTTTGAACTCCAATTTAAAGTTAAAGGTGCATTGAGCAATTTATCTGGTGGAGGATCTGCTACCTGCTTGGCTCCATGAAGATGTTATTGCTTTGCCTGGGATGTTCCATGGTATGACATTAAACATATCCATTTTGCATTTATTCATCACAGGTGTTTCTAGTGCTCAAAAATATATTAATTCCTTCTGTGAATAAGGGCGACTCTCCACAGATGTGAATTGTAATGTAGCATAGTGCTGTAACCTGTTTGTCTCCCTCATGACAGATTTACAGGTTTAATCTATACTGTGGAACATTATAGACAAAGCAATACCATCTCCATGGAGACAAGTAAGTAGCAGAACCTCCACCAGAAAAGCCGCACAGTACACCTTTATTAGATCTTTTGGTAACTACAAAAATCATTTCTGTCATTTCTATTCTATATAAAAGTATAACACTTTGTGCCCACAACAGGTTTTGAAATTGCAAGTGTCAGTATTAAGAAAAAAACAAAAGAGAGAGAAAGTGAAATCAGCTGGTACAGCTGTCCGTGTAAAAACATTATAAATCTATCTACCCTTTGCTAAGGCTTGTTTTCAGTAACGCTCTGTCTGGCCAATTGATGTAATTCACATCTTAATATTCAAGCCCTCGCTGTGTTTTGACTTAGGGCTATTTATGCAAATGAAAACACTGATTTATAATGTAATCAAAAGTTTCTGCATTCATTGAACACAGAGCATACAGTATCTAGCTGGATTTAACTGCTTTAATAAAGACTAATAGGGCCTTGCTGTGGGGAAAAATAAAAATAAAACTGGGGAAAAGACTCCAGGCATCCTACACTGACCAGTTTGACCACATTAATCTTACTCCACATAGAGTAACTCTTGCAAATGTCATAAGTGGGGGTAATGGTCAGATAAGATCAGGTACTAAACAACAACAATTCCTTCCATTAATCTCAGAAGCATCAGGAAGAGAGATAATAAAGAAGAATGAGTACTAAATTACCTCGACAAAGAGGAAGCAGGGTACGATGTAGGTGCTGGTTTTGATCAGACCTTTGTCTCCGGGAGGGTTCCGCACTTGCCTCCTCTGCATGGACAATCGGTTTTCCATCATCTGAGAAAGGGAATTGTGAGACAACACATTATTTAGAAAGCTGCAGTTTAAATAACAGACCATTTAACTTTAGTCCAGGGCTATAAGTGAATGCATTTGGTAATCAGACAAAAGTAACAAATTATGACTGAATAATGATGTACTAGTACCAAGAATAATAATATTATTATACTTAATTTATTCAGTGTTACAAATTCCTCTCTCTATCCAGCTTTCCCAGCTTTCTACACTTTCTCAATTGATCTTGTTTTGAGGCAACTGAAACTGAAAAAAATTAAAATAAATAAACATTCCTCTCTGGCATTCTACAATTCATCATTGGCCTTACTGTAGATGCCCATTTTGATACAAGTTACAATATGTATCAAGGCTAGGCTAACCCTGACATGTAATTCAGGGTTAACTTGTAAATATAGGAATTGAATACATCAGTAAAAATGTGCTTTACCCTTTGTTAATGTATCAGAAATCTTTGGTGCTACTGCCACTGTGCTCTATGCGGTCATTTAAATGCATTCCTTTTATCTCGTTTCATCATAACAAAAAAAGAAAATATGCAAACTTCCACCCACGCAATTCAATACAGACACAGATGAATGGTGAACAGGAAATGTAGGTGCAGGTACACTCACACCAGAGCTGGCAATCTGGAGGGAGAGACCAAGGCAGCAGGTAGAAATGAGGCTGAGAGGAGGAGAAGCAGAGTGGAAACATGGAGCTGTGATCAAAAACAAAAGGCTGACAGATCGAGATAAGAGAAGACAAAGCCATGATGCAGATGTTTGGGGAGTCTTCAGAAGCAACAAGAGAGGTGAACTAAGCACACTCAGCACTGGAGGAGATGGAGAAAAAATTAATATGCAATACAGGATGCACAGGAGAGAAGTGAGAAGAAATGGGAACTTTGAATGCTGGAGGGCTTTGGAAATGTCTATGGGGCATTAGTGCAATATTTTGGCTAAGACGTGAGTTTAAATAAAGAACTTTGTTTTAATTATGGCTGATTATGCTTAAAGCATTGCTAAATTTGCAAACCAATGACAATTAATTACTTGTTGTCATGGAGACAACCTCTCTGGTTTTATTGGCTTGGACAAGCCTTATCAATCGCTGTGGGTCAGAGGAGGAAATGTCCTTATGACCTCTTAGCTGAGATATATTTTTTATTATAACATTTCTATATTCTAGCTGTAATAGCACATTTGTATAATTATGTCTTATTTGAAACCAGTCTTTCGCTATTTTTTTTATCATTTTGAATTCATTATTACCATTTATATTTTTGATCTTCGCTATTATAATATATTGTGAAATGTGAGCTACTGTGTCCAAATAATTTCCCTTGTTGGATCAATAAAATTTGTCTAAGTTTAATCCTGTTACTTTCAAATAGCACAGAATGCACTAACTTCATTTTCATACTGTATATATATGGATATGGTGTGAAAATGCATATATTACTGGAAACTGAAGCATTAAATATGTAATCGCATTAAAGATTCACTCGCATCCTTTTACTCCTAATGTACTGAAGAGCATAATTCTATGGTTGCATCTGAAAAATAGTGCCAACCATGAGATATGTAATTTACTACTATTACAAAATACAATGAAGCATGTCGGATTAAGGGATTAGAAAGCATACATTTTGTACAATATGCCTAGTTGTCCTTACAGAGTCAACAAACATAAACTGTCTGGTGCCGTGGTGCACTTTGTGTTCCTGTTACTTATTTACCACTGATTTCTATTTATAGAATCATATGTTCTTTTTGGTTAGTGATGAAAATGTCAAGAAATCCTGCCTGAGAGCACAAGATGTATTATCAAAAGGCACACATAGAGGACACTGTAGGCTTAGATATTGCAGGCAGATGCTAACGTGGATTCAAGTCATTTCAAATGTACAGTATTAATTTAGTTTCTTTTAGCCTGTTGTATTATAGGGTTAATTCCGTATTTGGTATAATTCTTAATCGTTCAGTTTGGTCTGCTTTGTGACTCAAAAGTCTGCCATAGAGATAAGTTGGTGTGGGATGTGAGTGCATTGTCCCGTCTCTGCGCTCACAGAGGGGAGATGGGGCTTTAGGCTGCTGTGACAGATTGTCTCTTGTGTTGCTGTCTCTGTCGTTCACTATGATGTGCATCCTTAAGCCTCGCTGTGGCACCACAGCTACAAAAGAGTGCCTCACTGGCTCCTGGCACACACTCAGCCTACAGACCAGACCCAAACACACACTTGTACTACACAAACCCACAGCTCAAACACTCATCATTACACCACTAATTACACAACTCAGATGTCACGCCAACAAGTGGCCACACTGATGTCCGAGCTGTGACAACAGAAGAGAAAGGGGAACACAGGACTCCAGCTGAGCTGCACCACAGGTTCACTAATATGGGTCATGATGATGTACATGCACTGCCACATCCATACTGAGGGAATAGGTTAAAAAAGCACTGCCCTGGAAACCTCTCACCTCTAGTCTCTGGTGATTCCACTGAGTTGCTGTCTCTAGGAGGATCCGCTCTTGCAGAAAATGAACATTCTGTGGTTGCCTTGTGCTCTCAGCTGTGCTCCTCTGTCTGCTTCCTTCTGGTTTCTTTTGAAGCAAAGCGCTCCTCACTTGCGACGATGTGCCAGCGCAGAAGCCCTCTGTTCTGTGAATAGAAAAGATAGAGCTGGTCCACTGTTAGGCTCCTGCCTTCAGCCAGCCCTGCCTATGTGTGTGTGCACTTCTTCAGTAGGTCGCCGCGCTAAATATAATGGTCTTCAGTGGCACTTCAAGGATAATTAGTCAAGTGAAGAATCCACGGCTTGGAGAAAGAGGCTGCTTAGCGCAGTTGCCGGTGGATACGAGGATAGCACGAGAGATGAGAGATGGAGAGAGAGAGAGAGAGAGAGAGAGAGGGGAGAGAGAGAGTAGAAAGAGGGGATGTGTGTGAGAGACTGAAAGGCAAGGAGGAGGAGAGAGTGGGAAGAGAGAATAAGAGAACAGTGGGATAGTATGAATGTGTGTGTGTGTGTGTGTGTATGTGTCACATGGTAACATGGTCAACACAGAGCATCACACATGTTTGTACAGTCCTGTATAGATTCAGTATAATGTGTGGGAATGGTTGTCAGTCAGACATTGCAATGGCAAGCGAAAAAAAAACTGTGTATAATTCCAGAGATTGTGCATGAAGCATGTGTGGCCAGTGATACATGTCAGTACAATTATACATTTCAAGGAGATGGCGCTTGATCCTACTCCATATTGTGCAATGGTTCAAATATAATACAGCAACAAATGTATTACATGAAACATGAAAAGCAGCAGTGTCATGAAAGCTGGACTCAAATCCCACACTGGTCCACAGACCATGAAAGAACCTTTTTTTTGTTTTTTAATTATGTTACAGATCCTATGGATACATGGTTTCTATGGTAACCAACTACACTTACAAAACTGAATGAGAAAATGTTCTCTAATAAACACCTGTTTGGCAGCAAATTGCAATTCACAACTTTCAAGTACGGCTGGGCAAAAAATCTAATTTGACATTTAAATCAATTCGTTTAGAAGAAAATAGATTTTTTATTTTTCCAACTTTCTTGCATTGGAAATTTCATTGAAAATGCAAGAAAGACTGCTCACTGGGACCAAGGGTTGGTCCCTGCTCTGGAATCAGTGCTGTCAAATTAATGTAATAGTTTGTTTTATCTCATACATAAAAGATTTCCCCAATGGGCAATGGGTTAAATATGACAATTGAAAACAATCTTTTCAGTTTTCAGAAAAAAATCTAAAACTAATTTACTTTTTGTCAAAATCTCCAAGCCCTACTTTCAAGTATTCACTATTTTTAACCACTAAACCAATAAACCTGTACACTGACATTAAAACAACCCAAAACCAATGACTGATTCTGGTAATCAGCAATCAGCAACAGCAATTAGACATTATTAGCTGCTTAATTCTGTGACCGACAATTGTAACTGTTTGGTTAGAATAACACTTATTATAAGCCAGTTATTTGTTGTACTATCAAACACTCTTTGGTAAATTTTGGTAAATTTCTGGGTAACACTGGCACATGGATGCAGCAAGAGCATATGGAAAGCTGCAATGTATTTCCTGGGAACAATTGCCTCCTAGAGTCTCTCAATGGGCTCCTTTATTCTTAGCCATTAACTCACATTACACATAGGGGCTGTACTTTTCTTCTGATTTATGTCTCTACTAGATATAAAAGTTTCACCTAAAACCAAGGTGAGACAGTATCACTACACACTAGGATGTGAAGACAGAGAGAGAGAGATTTGAAGTCAAGGGCAAACATCACATAACCTAAACAAAGATAAAGCTGAGCCAAGCTAATATGAAGGCCTATAGTTAAAAGCACAGGCACACATACCTTCTGACTTGTCTTTTTCCAGTGTAGCTTTTCAATCAGGCCTTCTGCCTACTGTGCCTAAAGAATAGAGATATTAACATTATTATCACATAATGTTTACACATATTGTTTCCATTTTGCCAGTTTTAACAATAGTTTTAGGAATAGCCAGATGACAGATTCATTGTTTGCTTTTGTAGAAGAAAAAAAAACACGATTCAGAGTTTAAATAATGCTGCATTCTCTACAACCTAAGCAATAATTTACAATGCTTGCTCAAAGGGGTCAAAAGAAGTACAACACTTTCTAAATCATATCTTCCTACTTTTTCACAGCGAGGCCAAAGGAGAGACTGTTTCTGCATGTTTACACCACTTGTTAAGGGGTACGGATGTTCCCATTTCTGGTAACTACCTCTGATGACCCTGTGACACTGAAGGATAGGTCAAATGCAAACTCAAACCTCAAACTTTACTTCTGCAAGGCAAAGCTAATACGAAATGTAATTTAGAAATGCTAAATCTTTTTGCAGATTGTTTATGTTTATGTCAAACCATTGAGTGACCCTATATGTCGCACAAGGGTTATTTGACTCTGACTTAGTTACAGTCCATCAACAATAAAACAGCTTCATACAGTATAGTGCACATTCACCAAGCTTGAAAGCAAACAAAGAGAAGTGCTTCCTAGGCATGGGTTCACAGGTACAAAGGGATACAGTCATTGTAGTCACAGAAAGGTTACTACACCTCTTTCATCAGTACAAAAGCAGTTAGCTGAATTGTTCATGCTAAGCTGTGTGATATGTTTACAAGGCTGCCTCTGTGTCTCTTTCCAGCTGATCACGAAAAGACTTGAGAAACAGAAGTAGGCCGTGTCAGTGTGCTCATTTATACAGTACACAGTGGACCACAGCCAAGGACATCCTGCCTTCATGCTGACGTGCAAGGGAATTTGGACCATAAAGAATTAATCAGATGTTGTTGTTTTTTTCTAAATTGGATTATAAAGAACATGATGTCTTGTGGCTAAAATACTGAATGACACTTTAACAGGCCTATGCCAATATCAAGCAGAGCATTGTTAACGTATTTGGCTTCTTAAATGTCTAAATGCATAAATAAAGCCAAAAGAAACATACATAAATCGACATAGCTAACCCAGTAGATGCCGCGTTCCAAATAGGAAGTAAGTATGGAGGAGCTTCTGGCTCCAATTGACTTTACATAAAAAATTGTCACCCCTTTCTCTGTAACTGCTGCAATGATCCTCATCAATTTGGTCTTAAAATGTTTGTATTAACCCCTTTAGCTCTGCAAGATCCTGGTGTTTGTATTTCACTATTTTGTCCGAAAATAAATTCCTATTCCTAATATGGAACTAGGCTCAAAATTTTCTCCATGACTGCTAGCCTCGATGAGCTTCATTTGACTTCATTTGAATGCAATGGGTGACACCACACGCCCTTAGTCCACTTCTTCATACAGTCTATGATTACGCCTCATGTATACTATCATAGCTATCATAATTGTGGGAAAGTAGTATAGCTTATATAATATAACAATAGAAAAATAGCATGGCCTACTTTTACCGCATAGTAACTCGATGCAGTGTTACTGCAGTAATGATGGTCTAACTTCATCCTGTGACCTGACGTCTGTAGCACTCTCAAAAAACATAATACATGTAAAACATTTAGGCTATTATGTATTCACAGATGCTCAATCAAACAAAGTGTTATCTCTGGACTGTTCTTTCAGATGAACAGATATGACTTTGTTTATTTATAGTCTCTAAAACAACTTAAGAAACATCAGTCCAAGCATGTAAATCACTGAGAGAAAGAAGAGTGAAGTGAAGAGATGCTCCAATAATTGAATTATACTCACAGACTTAGTCATAAATGTTTTATGAGATGTAATTATGATGGTAAGTCGTTACGTTGATGGCTATGCTGAGACTTTAACAGTTACACATCATTAATAAATAATCACCTGAGGGGGGTAGACAAAAATAAAGTATGGCCAGCTGCTTTGGGGACGCGTACGTGCTGTGGTGGAGTCCCGTAGACAACAACAGGAAACATGAGGCTCATGAGCAGAGAGCGCAAACCGTATGTGCATGAGGCATGAGGCTGTTTGTGAGCCTCTGTTAGCCCCGTTAGCTCTGTTAGCTCTGTTAGCTCTGTGCGCCGTGTGGAGGCTGGCCTCACCGGAATGACTGGAGTCAGGTAACCACCCGCGGCCACAGAGCGAGGCACTCCCAGCACCCGGACTCTCACACGGAGGGAGGGAGCCATCAGAAGTGTGTCTCTTCACCTCTCAGCAGCAATGCTCAAACTAACGCCATTTACTTTTAGTTAAACTTTATTGTGCATTTAATTAGTTTACTGTGGATCTATCAAGCTAGGTGTCGCTGTTCACGTGACGATCCTCGCTTCTTGTGGAGGGAGACAGGTCAGTGCAAGAGGATCCTCAGGTGTTTGTTTTTCCACCAATAAATCAACATCGCTTTTTCGGTATATTTTTTATCGGCTTTGTGTTCCAAGAACGTAAGATTGATGTCTGACTTCTTTTTGTTTCTTGGTTGGAATATATAGGCTCAAGTTTCCAACTTTCCGTCGGGACAGAAAGACAGGTAAGGCGTTTTACTCATTTTTAAAAAAACACTTTTTGGACTGCAAAATTGCATATCTAATATCATACAAGTCAGTTGGAAGCGAGCACAACTAGAGTACTGACCTGTCTGACTCTGACTTCTGTTAAGCTGTGTAAACAAAAGTTGCATTTTGAGTGTCCACTGTCTGTTTGAATGAAACAGTCCTAGAGCCTAATCACGTATATTTATTTATTATATTGTTGAGTCTTTTCATCCCATGTTTGTTGATCTCAAAATAGCTGTTCTTGCACACATACTTGCGGAGTAATGAAGACCAAAAGCGTGCAAGCCATAAACCACTATTTTATGATGTAGTGGTTTAGATAGTATTGACACAGTGCAGCTGCCGTGTATATGTTTGCTATTTAATGTTTGTGTAAATGTAACACTCGTGACAACTTAGTTTTTTTTTTTACTGTCATATTTCCAACTTCTAATATTATATCACCGTAGAAACATCTGGTTCATCACTTTTTAACCATAGTGCTTTTCCCGGTCAGTGCTTGAAGCTAATCTTGGAAAAAGCATTCCAAGTTGAATCTGTAATCAAACAGGACTGCTTAGGCATATATGTGTAGATATACTGATTAACAAGTTGCCATCACAGCAGGAACTCCCGGCTGGGCTGTTCTGCTGCTGCCGGGTGAAGGAACTGAGGGCTTAAAGGGCAGGGTGTCTCCACGGTCGTGCTCATGTAATTCTTTACATTTAAAGCAGAAGCCAGTATATGGTATAAAACACACACACTCAAATGACATGGACTGATACAGATGGATAAAATGTATTCCAATCACAATACTTTGGAATCTACAGCCAGCTATCTCTGTTAAGAAGTGAATGCCCTTGCCTTCTCACTTTATCCAAACTTGAGACAGGCACAATATCTATACTTTCTATTGTAAAATCTTGATACATTTAATATAAAGGGCCTATATTACACTGTTTTGTGATCTTATAATATTATTTCCTTATCAGAAACATACCTGGAGTTGTGTTCTGTTTCATTCCCATGTTTAGCACACAAACCCTGCAGATTAAGGCTGGGTTTTTCTCTCCAATAGAAAAAAGCCTGTTCCACCTTGTGATGTCATGTGGGATTACAGAGTGATCCACAGTGTTTTTAAGATCTACACAACTATACTAGAATTATTTGGATAATTTCAGCCCTGCAACTGCCAGTCTTTACTGAACAAAAGGTAACTTGAAAATTATCACTACATGACATCACAAGGTGGAACAGAGCATGGTGATCTTTGGAAATGTAGACAGACTAACAATAAAGGATTACTCAAACATGTGTGAATGAAATGCAATTCAAGGTATGTTTTTGATGAGCCAACAGCATTATAACATGTCTTAAAGCTCACAAGAATCCATTTTGTGTATGATAGGACCTTTAAAGTTTACCAATTGCTCCTCATGCCATAGAGTCTAGACCAATGGCACGTTCTAGTACTCCTTCTTATTCTACACTTGAAAATTTTAGTAGAAACACCACATAATTTGACCAATTTACACTGTATATATATATTACTGAAAAGTAGTTTTGTGCTACTGTGCAGAAATTGAGAACGCTTCTGTGATATCTGCTAAGACAGATAAGCCACTGCACAAAAGCCTTGAGTTGTGTGGTCGACAGCCCCACCACTCTTCACTAGTGTTATCTTTTAAATCGCATTGAACTGAGTGAGGGAGACTGTCAAGATGAAGGCAGATTAAAACATAAAGATTAGCCGGGAAGAGATGGAAGGCAAGTGCAGAATGACGAAATCCACCTCCACTTTTCCTGGTAAATGGCTGAATTCTTCACTGACAAATTGCCCCGCAGCGGATCTCCTCTTGTCTTTGCATCACTGCTTTTTCTGTTTAGGACTTAATATCTTCTCACATTTGGTTTACTCTCTCAAACACTGTTGTGACGGGTTTTATATTGTTATAGATAGTTCCCTGCTATTTCAATTATTCCAATGTCCTCCCACTTTAAAGATCAGCCTGGTGTTTATCTGTCTGCTCTATATTACAACAAATATCCTGGAGCACCGGATTTGTGTTCTTGTATTTCTTGTTTCTAAGGATGCATAGATTGCAACATGTTTGAAGTTGTGTTGTAAATAACTTGTGTACCTCTTTGCATTATGTCATTGTGTTTGGAGTTGCATACCTGAGCGGCTAGCCGCTCCCAAACAGTCATGTATGGACAATGGCCTACTTTTACACACTCATCCTTTTGTGGGATTTTTGTTGCCTGTTTCTTTTTTCTCAGCTATGTTTAGACAGGCCAGTGCAGTTATAATAATCATTCTGTTTCTGGGCTACTGGGCGGTATTTCTTTTCATGTGAGGTAATCTGTTGACTTAAAATGTCAGGGATCCCGGGCCTCAAGGCTAACAACCTTACTCCAGATTTTAAACTTTTTGGCACAAAATGTTATTCAGGTAAACAACTCCATACACTTGGAAAGTGCAGATATCCAACCCCCTCAACTCTTCACTAGTTCACAAGAGTTCACTTCAATGCAAATTTTTAAAATTTTAAATATATGTCAATTGTATTAGTTTACTCTGTAGATTAGAAACCTTACAGACAACAACTAAGGATGTAACCAAAATATCATGGAAAAAGTCTCAATAATATCTTGGACCATCACGATATATCAAATTACACAAAATATATCGAATTACAATTCTCTTTACTTAAATTAAAAGGTATGGTCCAGCAATAGCTAAAAAAAAAACTGAGGGAACTACATAGACCATGATCCTTTGCTCTGTTTCAGTAAACACTACATGAAGAAGTACTTAATCAAGCACTTTTAAATCTTTGTTCTGTGGATTAAGTCTTAAATCAAGGCATATTAAAAGGAAAAAGTAGCATATGCATAATTTTGTTAGCCTTCGCAAAATATTGCAAGAAATATCGTACCGTGAGATGCATAGCAGGAAAATATACTGAGAGATTTGGATATTGTTACATCCCTACAAACATGCAAGCAAAAATATAAACTCCATAGCTTGCAACATTTCTACTCTCATATTCAATATTCAAAGCCAGTGAAAACTCAGTGATAGCATTCACAGTTTTGCAAACGTGTGAGTCTGTTTTGTAATGTAGATTGAGACTATGAGTGGAAATCTTGGAAGGGGATAAGATATCTACCAAATTAATGTAACACTTGATACCATCCATAATAACAAGGAGAACTAAGCCTCCATTTAATGTTGTAATGAAATGTACGTATTTATGCTTGGATGGAGTCACCGTGGGGTAAAAGAGCCTTATTTTTGCATTGCCAACATTCTGTATTATTCTGGTTGTTTTCCAATGAAGACATGAGATGTCAAGTAAATAGGCAAGGAAATGGTTTGTCCCTGCCAAATCATGATTAATTTGCGACATACACACTTAAAGCTGCATTACTCTTGTTGCCAGGTTCACATTATGTTGGTGTATGTTTTATTACTGAATTTTGGCTGAAGTGTATAATCAGTATTTCATTGCTCAAATATTTGAACTTTGCATTCATCATTTGACTAAACTCACTACATCTGCCCTGCTCTCAAGTATAGTGCATATAAACTATTGTAGGTCTGGTATTATGTGCTAAATGTTGACAGTGGTTTGCTTTGCGTCATGGCTGCTCTTATCTCCAAGTCTGCTCAGAATTGTTTGCAGTACCATCAGAGTTTGTTTAATTTCTGCACACTGCTCCATGGTTTATCAGGCTTCAACAGCTCTATGTATTTAAAAATAAATCCCTGTTGCTGACTTTGTGTCTGAACTAGACTCCTTTCGTGATTTATTTTAATTTTTTTTTAAATAGCATATATTTTTGTGGTTACACATCAACATGTTCAGCATTCTGCCTGTTCTCATTACAGATAGCGTTTTTTTTTTTTTTTTCATGTTTATTTGTCAGTTGACCCAAGGATATGTCAAAATCTGCTTGTGTAACAGAGTAAAGGTTTAACAATTGGGGGCTAAATATTAAACTCCTGTGATCTTGTGGGATTCAATTTTGCTGACATATAATCATTGTGTGCAGGCAACAACAAGTGCTTTGGCAACAATTGCTTCTGCCTTCCAAATGACATAACATTTAATATTTGTTGCAGTTATAATCATTAGTTAAACAGCCAAAAGCTGCAGATTGAGTTAGATATTGACTTAAATTGAGTTTGTGCCTGGCCTGGAATGTCCGTTTGTTTGTTTAGTAAGAAAAAGAGGAAGTTGAACATTAGAACGTCTCACAAGGTGTTTACAGGGCCACTGCTGCTCTCCCCAAATCCAGATGCTGTGGGCTTGGTGTGGTTGAACAGTGAGTTGGACAGCTCTGTGTTCTCATATGATTTGTGTGTTGTGAGGTGATGTGTGCGGGATCATGGCTCAGTTGTGAGGCCCACAGCACAGCGGCCCACAGGCTTTTGACTCTATGACAATGGAGAAAACGAACCGAGACTGGATTACACCGGTCCAAAATTCCGCTCCAAACCTGTTTGAACCCTAATCCTGCGCACACAGACAAATCGCCAGAGCAAGCCAGTACTTGTTGCAACTATACAGTGAGTGGCAATAGAGTTGATTTGTTGCATGTTGGGCAGAAGTGCTTTTTTATTCAAACTGTATTTCACCTGTATAAAGAAATGGACTAAGGGAGTGTGACATCGCCCATAGCGTTCAGCTCCAGTCAAATGAAGCTCACGATATTAAAGGTTTTAAGGGCAAATGATGGAGCAGTTTTTGGAGTAAATACTTCATTACTTTATTAAATTTACTTCCATTTAGGAATAGGTATTTACCAAGATCATGTAGAGTAGATTAATACAAACATTTTAAGACCAAAATGAGGAGGCTCACAGCAGCAGTTACAGAGAGAGGGGCGACAATTTTTCTATGTAAAGTCAATGGAGTTGGAGCTTGCAGGTTTGCTATGTCCATCTATACAATCTATGATTTTACATGGAAAATTTGAGATTAACACT